ATGCCAGGAGGCCACCAGAACCTTGCAATCAGTCATTTCTCTGCCAAGATATATTCCCTCTACTGTCCCCCATGTGACTTACTAGGTCACCCTCTACCTTACCCATTGTTCATCAATGTACTACTTGGGCAGATAACTTAGTCACCAAAGAACTTGAAAGCATTACATCCAAGGTGCCCTACACAAGTCCTAATTTTTGGAGGACAAATAGAAAACCCTAAAAGGGGATTCTTATTGTTTTGGTTTGGGGAAAATGGTAATTCTGGACCAATTGATAGTGGCCATGATTTGATACAGACAACCAGTATACACACAAAGTAAACTACACATTTCTAAGTTCCTTTTATTTTTTTGAGGAAGGCTCTTGCTAGGCAACCCAAGCAAGCCTATAACTTGTGATCAATCCTCTTGCCTCTGTATCCCAAATGCTGGGGTTACAGGCTTGTGCCACCACCCCAGCCTCAACATGCCTTTTAATTAGTGTCTAATACCATTTATATAAAACCCTCATTCTAATCACTTTGAATTAGTTGACATTTCAGGAACATTCCACATACTCTCATGGCTCCATGTTTTTCTCCTTCTGTTCCCTCTGCCTTTAATGAACCATTATGCTTCTCTGAAAATTCTCATCTTTAAAGACTCATCTACAAATCCATGCCCTACTGTACAACACTCTCAAAATTGGTTTCTCTAGCCTTGCTACTTTCTTAGCCTATACTGCATTTACTTTTAAATACCTCCCTTACAAAATTTCAACCTCTTAAAGGGACAGAGACTCTATCATATTCTTTCCAGCCTTTAGATTGCCTTATGGTTAGGCAGAGCTCAGAAAACATTTAATAAATGAATGATCCCTGAGAAAAGCTCACTGCCTATCATCTACTATCATTAAGTAGCAATGGATAGGAAATGACTTTAGAACCAACCTCCCTAACAGTCCTACTGCTACCGCATTAGCTTTCTGAAGGAGAAAGAACCTACCAAGAAGCGATTATCTTCCAGACAGTCAAGGTTAACTCTGAAATTAGAATTTCTACTCTGGCTGGAGAGATGGCTCAGAGGGTAAAGCATGAAGACAGAACCCACACAAAAGTGGAAGGGGCAAACTGACTCCACAGAGCTGTTCTCTGATTTCCACATGTGAGTTGTGGCACATGTACACCTATACACACAATAATAATATATTTATATTTTAAATTTTGTTTAGAAAGGAGTTCTAAACCGGGCGTAGTGGCCCGTGCCTTTAATCCCAGTACTCTGGGAGCCAGAGGCAGGCAGATTTCTATGAGTTCAAGGCCAGCCTAGTCTACATAGTGAGTTCCAGGCCAGCTGGGGCTACAGGGAGACCCTCAAAAAGACCAAAAAAAAAAAAAAAGAAAAGAAAGAAATCTCAGTAACAAAACTATCACATGTACTCGAACAAGCATAAAGTACTAAAACAGTTTTTCTTTTAGACACTAAACAGTCAAGAAAATCCTGCATGCTTTCATCAATGTCTTCATGCCAGAAGGAAAAGACACCAAAACAAGCAACTTGGTTTTCTCGTTCTCTTCATGCAAATCATAACACTGCATATCAACACAGGAGACTCAATGTTCCCAACGTGGCAGAAAGATAAATAAAAACAATTTCAAAAACCATTTGGCAAAACCAGCATTCCACATAAGATCTGGTGTTTCATTCCAATATAGCTGACTATGCTTGAATCCAACATGAATTATGACAGGATAAGCTCTGAGACTTAGCCTGCTCAAGAAACCCAAAGTCAAGGTTTTTGGTCCTAAGGCAGGGTGTGGTGGCTCACACCTGTAATTACAGCACTCAGGAGGCAGAGGCAGGCAGATCTTTGTGAGTTTAAGACCAACCTGGTCTATATAAGGAGTTCCAAGCCAGCAAGGCTACAAAGAGAACCTGTCTCAAAAAAAGAAGGGTGTGATAGCACACACCTTTAGTCCCTGCACTCAGGAGGCAGAAGCAGGTGGATCTTTGTGATTTCAAGGCCAGCCTGGTCTACATAGTGAGTTCCAGATCAGATGGGACTACAGGGAGACCCTGTCTTAAAAAGACAAAAACAAAAACCAAAAACTTCTGGTCCTAAAAGCATCTGTTACTGGTATATAAATGCATAAAAGGCCACTGCTGCTTCTATATAACCTGCTGAACTTGGTACACTAGAGACAAATAGAAGATAGTCAGAAGCCCAATATGTAGTTTTCCAAATAATGTACTCTACGTGACTGATAACAATTTTGAAGCAACTCCTATGATCTGATATTGGACAACCCCTTAATATGGCCAAAAGGATTTTAAATTAGGGCCATAAAACTGAAAAGTCTTCTACTTTGCAATATCACCAAAAAGAGAACAAATATTTACAAAGGATTAATCATGTGCCAAGTTCTTTATGAAACATCTTATTTAATTATCCACTCTATACACAAGAAAACGGCAGAGATTGAACCATTGCTTGCTGATTTTTGAATCTGTATCCTTTCCAATAAATCACACTACCTCTTATCTACTTTGTTCTGATAATTTATTTTTTAATATTTTTATTTTTATTTCATGTGTATGAGTGTATTGCCTGCATGTATGTAAGTACACCTGTGCTGTGCAATGCCTGTGGAGGTCAGAAGAGAGCATTGGATTGCCCCTGGAATTGGAGTTATGGATGGTTGTTAACCATCAAACCTTGGTCTCCTGCAGGAACAGCCACTGTTCTTTACTGCTGAGCCATCTCTCCAGCTGCCCCTGATAAATTTTTAAAATTCAAGGAAGCATATGCAATATGGAAGCCTAGATTGGACTGCAAAGCAGAAAACAGAAATTAGTAGAAAAACTTATTAAGTACAAATAATAAAGTCTAGAATTTAGTTAATAGTAATAAGTAATACTCCAACATTAATTTGCTCAGACAAATGAACCATTATAATATATTAACACTAAGGGCAACTATGTGAAAGTTAAGTGGGAACTTTTTTTACTACTTTTGTGATTTTGTAATAAACTAAATTCTTCCCAAGCAAAATATATTTTTTTAATGCAAGGAAGTAAAAAAAAATGTAAGAAAGTTTTGAAACTCAGCTATTACCCTGAAACTTGGTCACTGACTGGATGTTTCTAAAGGAGGAGAAACACAAGATCTTTCCTATGATTATCAGTTTTAAATCTACCAAAGATATCGCTTCCGGTTTCATCACATTAGGATAGTTAGTGTTTAAAAAAACTGGGGGGTGGAGAGGGGTGGCTGGAGAGACGGCTCAGTGGTTAAGAACAGTGGCTGCTCTTGTAGAGGACCTGTGTTTGGTTCTCAACACCCACATGGTGGCTAACAACATCAGTAACTCCAACCATAAGTAACTTAAGTTCTAGTAGCTCTAATACCCCCTTCTGGTCTCTGTGGGTACTGCATGACATGGGCGCACTTACATGCAGGCAAGATACTCATACACATAAAAATAAAGAAAAAAATTTAAAGTTAGGTTGTGGAGATGGCTCAGTGAGTAAGGGTGCTGTCCATCAAGCTTGATGACCTGAGTTGGATCCCCAGAATCCACATGGTAGAAGGAGAGAATCAGAGAACTGACTCCCAAAAGTTGTCCTCTGACCTCCACACATGCTCATGCATACATACATACATGCATGTAAAAAATTAAGCTCATGCATACATACATACATGTAAAAAATTAAGCTAGATTCTGTATCAAATATCTTGACTAACCAACAATAAAATGCAACCTGGTGGCAAAAAAGAAAGTGTCATCAAGTTGATCCTGACAGCAGGTGACCCAAACAGCTGCCTTACAATATGCTGAAACAGGCAGTTATGAGTAACTGGAAAACAGAAACAACACAAAGCCACCCCGAAGTAAAGGATTGGAGGACAACATTTTAACATGTGATTTTGAGAAAAAGCAGTACCAGACAAACCCAACTGACCCACGGGGGGGGGGGGGTTGCTATATTATCCCTCCTTGAGCTAAGATCTCTTGCAAATCAAGAAGGAAAGAGACACAACTGTAAAGGCAACAGACTCCACCCACACTCTTCAGCCTCAAGCCAGAGACCAGTCTTCATCTGTGTATGGAATCTGGTGCTGACCCTGTACTCATCTCCAAGACACCTGCACATAGAGATGGTGTTTCTAGCAGGCCTATCACCTTCAAAAAGAGACTATTCATCGGCTCAGCACCACAAAAGAATCAGAGATGAACCACTACTGATGCATGTATTTTAAGTGCTCCAATATTAGACTTCTATCTGCAGACCATTATAACTTAAAGCTTAGCTCTTTTTCACACTTCATATCCAGGATAACAGCTTCATTTTCTATATGGCTGAGCTTTATTACATTCCTCTCAGTTGGGTTTCTAGGCTTTCAGGTGACATTTTTCTTAAAGGTTTCTTGTTTCTGTCTTCTCAATAGGCTACACACATCGTCTACTTCAAGGTTTTCAAGCAGCTCTCCCCCTTCTGAATTTTTATTTACAATTCATATTTCTCTCTCAAAACATTCCCTAGTGCTACTCGGGACCTTTCTGAATACAAGTCCTTAATAAAGATATCCCAAAGTGGGGGAGGGGAGTAGAGAGGCGGTGCAAAGCCTCTGAATTATTCTCTGAGGTTTTGTCATCTGCATGCTGAGGGTGGTCTCTTTGTTAAGAAGTTAGCAGTCCTGACATTAAGGGCACACAATTAATATTCCCTCTGAAATCACAGGACTGTTCTTTGAAAGAGTTGTCCAGTTCGCAGGCCACATTAGATAATTGCCCATTCAGGAGCGCGGCCTGAAAAGAATGTCGGCGTTTTCCGGCAGGTATAGGTAGGTGCCTGGGGGTCAGGGGGAGAGGGAAAGGCAAGGGGTGGAGTGGGAGGCGGGTGATCGACAGGGATAGAAACAGTGTCTCCTCCTCCCTCTGAAGGCGAAATAGCCAATGAGGTGGCGCGGCCGGGCCGGCCGGGCCGCCAGTGCCATATAGTATGCAGCAACCGGAGGAGTCACGTTGGGGGAACGGCAGAAAGCAGCTATCCGTTTACACTACTTTGCTCTAGCAGCTATCTTAATGGTGACTGCGTGGCCGGGGGGAAACCTGATCGGCCAGATCCAGCCGAAACCCGGAGGGAGGGAGTGGGCTTTCCGGAGGGGGGAGGGGGGAGGGAGACGAAGAAGGAGGAGTGAGAGAGGGGGAAAAGAAAGAGGAAAAGAGTGTGAGGGAGTGAGGGAGGGAGAAAAATAAACAACAAAAAAATGTCCTCTTCCTCCCCCACCGAGCAGATTGCAAGTGCGGCGGACATCAAGCAGGAGAATGGGATGGAAAGCGCCTCGGAAGGCCAGGAGGCGCACCGCGAAGTGGCGGGGGGCGCGGCGGTCGGGCTGAGCCCCCCGGTTCCAGCCCCTTTCCCCCGGGAGCCGGGGGCCGCCGCCAGGGTGAGCGGCGAGGAAGGGGCCGCGGCGGCGGAGCAGGTACAGCTGCACTCGGAACTTGGCCGGCCGCACGCCGCGCAGCCCCCGCTGGCCTTCTCGCCGGACCATGTCGCCTGCGTGTGCGAGGCGCTGCAGCAGGGGGGCAACCTGGACCGCCTGGCCCGGTTCCTGTGGTCCCTGCCCCAGAGCGACCTGCTACGTGGCAACGAGAGCCTGCTGAAGGCACGGGCGCTCGTGGCCTTCCACCAGGGCATCTACCCCGAGTTGTACAGCATCCTCGAGAGCCACAGCTTCGAGTCGGCCAACCACCCGCTGCTGCAGCAGCTCTGGTACAAGGCGCGCTACACCGAGGCCGAGCGAGCCCGCGGCCGGCCGCTGGGCGCCGTGGACAAGTACCGGCTGCGCAGGAAATTCCCCCTGCCCCGCACCATCTGGGACGGCGAGGAGACGGTGTATTGTTTCAAGGAGAAGTCGCGCAACGCGCTCAAGGAGCTCTACAAGCAGAATCGCTACCCCTCGCCCGCCGAGAAGCGGCACCTGGCCAAGATCACCGGCCTGTCCCTCACCCAGGTCAGCAACTGGTTCAAGAACCGCCGGCAGCGCGACCGGAACCCCTCCGAGACCCAGTCCAAAAGGTGAGAGCCAACTTTCCTCCTCCTCCTCCCCCTCCCTCTCCCCCACCCCCTTCCCAGCTTTCTTTTCCTCCGAGCGCTCGCAAACATGGCGCTTACCTTCCCCACCATCCCGGTTGGGCTGCCCACCTCCTCCCCGCCCCCCCAGTGCGCTCCCCAACCCGGAGGGGGGCGACGGGGGCCTCGGGCGGGGGGGGATCCTCCCTCCTTACCCTTCCCTCCTCCTGCCCCCAGAAGTTTCTGGTCGCCCGCCTAGGTCTCAGTCCCCGCCCCCACCTCGGCTGGTCTCTGCTGCCCGGCTTCCCACCCCCATCCCGCTGGCTTTGAAGTTGCCACTCTCTCCTCGGTTCTCCCCGGGCGCGGGGAGTGAGTGTGCCGGGTCGGTGGGGCAGCTAGGGCTGCAGCTCGTCCCCCGCTGGGGCTGCGGGCTTCGGTGGGGACTGTGGCTCCCCGGGGTCACTCCCAGCCGGGTGTGCGCACTCGTTGCTGGACACCCAGGCTTCGGCCGCGCTCGGGGCCTGCCCTGGAGGTCACCCAGGCCGCTTGAGGGGTGGGAGGGGAAAAGAGTAAGTGGGGGACGAGTGCCTCCGAAGGGGTCTGGGGTCGTCGAGGCTTTAATATGAGTTCATCCTTCACCCTGCCCTCTGCGGCTCCCTTCGCGGCCCGGGCAGCTGTGGGGTGCCGGTGTAGCTCGACTCTGCTGTGTTTTGAAACCTGATTCTGAACAACTTGGGATAGGGTTTCAGTGCTGCGGGGGTGGCAGGACTGAAGGGCAGTTTCTTGGGCCCCCTAACCTGTCTACGGATAGGGCAGTTAGGGGTAGGAGACAAGCTGGCATAAGGTGGACGGCAGGAAAGGAGTGGGGGCTCCATCCCTTCGGCCCTCCTGGAGCCCCCACCCTATTTGGTTGGAAACTTTTCTTGTCTGGTAGAAAATGCCAGGTTTTCCATCTCTTTTGTGTGTCCTCTGGATACAGACATTTGGGGCGTGTGTGTGTGTGTGTGTGTGTGTGTGTGTGTGTGTGTGTGTGTGTGTGTGTGTGTGTGGTGTACGCGCGCGCGCGCGCGTGTTGTGCATTGCTGGACGAGGCAAAGTAAGGAAAAGGTCTAAAGATGGTGTCTCCCGCCCTGCGGGGACTGGAGAGGAAAGATTCCAAATGCAACCCGATTATTCTGCTCTGGGAAGGAATCCGGGTTTGGAGAGCTAGCACCCCTGGGCCAGGTGAAGGTGATCACCCGGAGCCTTCCAGAACCGGCGGCCACCGGCCCTGACCGCTCTGCTGCTGAGCGCTGGTGGGGCCCGACCGCTGCGGCGTTCCTCGCCCTAGGCAGGGACTGAGACGCTCGGTGCAGCCCAGGCTCCCGGTAACCATAAACAAAATGTTCTCCACCACATGCAAGCATCCTTCCTCAGTCTTGAGGGAGACCCAGAGAAGGCGCACTGGTTAGGACACGCCACCTGTCCGGGCGCATGCTGGAGGCCGCCTGTCCTGGCGGCTGCAGCATGGACCGGGTCTGCTAGGCCTGGGCACTGGGTGCACAGCCGGTGCCACAAGCAGGCCAGTTGCCCTGCAACCTTGGCTCCTGAACCCGGCCCAGTTCCCGGGATCAACACACAATACACACCCCCTGAGCCACAAACTGCCGACCTCACCCTCCTCCCGTTTAACTCCACATCCCCACCCCCGACCCAGTTGCCTGGTATAGGCCCCTCTCCGGATCTACCTCCCACCCGCACCCCCGGTGAGTCACCCTCTTAGACGGCGACGGCGGCTCAGCCTCAGCTCATAAATCAAAGCGCTTTCTGCGCTCCTGGCCCCTAAACCCAAAGCCCGGGTAATCCCCTCCCCTCAGCTTGAAAGCGAACCGACCGTGAGCTGCTGCTGGGATGTTGGATCGTCAGATGGGCCAAGTCCCACCGCGCTTCCAAATTGCCTCTGTCACGTCCTACTGCCCCGCCCAGACTCTGAACCAAATGGGGAGAAAACTCCCACCATTCCTCCCCGACCTGAACTTGGTGTTTTCCCTCTAAGTCGGGGATCCTGGAATAGAAAGACTGAAGATTCTGGGAAGAGGCCTAATAGTTGCAAGGTCACTGAGTGACCCACACCCTTTACCTCCCGCCTCACCAGGGCACTGGATGGTGTGTGTTAAATAGGTCCCTATGGGCAACTGCTCATAAGTGTTCTTGGGTTGAAAGTGACTTTCCTACCACAAGGTCAGCCAGTTTGTGGAATGAGTTGGTGGGTCTGGTGGAGTATACTTTTGGGAGCAGGTGAGAAAATGATCCCTTGTGAACCAACTGGCAAACAAAGTTGGACACTACACACCTTCTGCTCCTTTGGCAATTCCATCTACCTCCAAATTAACACTAGTCTGAACCGGATTTGGGGAGAGGAAGGTGTTCCTAAACAGAAAAAAAAAAACAAAAACAAAAACAAAAAACACTTCATTTCTTGTTGTTTCTATGGTGTAAGTAACACACTATGTTTAACAGTTAGAGTAGCATACCAGTGCTGTAAGAATGAAAATACTCTATTCTGTACTAAGTCTGCTTAGCTGAATTTTACTGCTTTCAGCCTTCTGGTCTTCCCCTAGATTTATTGTTATCAAAAGTGATTAGGACTGAGTTCATCTTCATATTATCTAGCAGGGCAGGGTCTGCTGAAAGCCTAGTTTCAGCAGGACTAGCAGCAATCCTGCTGTGCTTTCCTTCAATGCTGCCTTTAATGGGTTCACAGGCTGTTTCAGAAACTATGTAGATTGTCAGCCCCATGACCTTCAAAATGTCTTCTTTCTTCCCTGGAACAGTGAGTCAGACGGCAACCCCAGCACTGAAGATGAGTCCAGCAAAGGACATGAGGATTTGTCTCCTCACCCACTTCCGGGTGCATCTGATGGTGTCACCAACCTCAGCCTTTCCAGCCACATGGAGCCAGTATATATGCAACAAATTGGAAATGCTAAGATATCATTAAGCTCTTCTGGAGTTTTGTTGAATGGAAGCTTGGTACCTGCAAGTACTTCACCTGTCTTCCTTAATGGTAATTCTTTTATTCAGGGACACAATGGAGTTATCCTTAATGGATTAAGTGTGGGAAATACACAGACAGTGTCACTGAACCCACCAAAAATGTCTTCAAACATTGTGAGCAATGGCATAGCCATGACAGACATACTGGGATCCTCCCAGGATGTGAAAGAATTTAAAGTTCTCCAGAATTCTGTGAACTCCACAGCCACCACCTCCTACAGCCCTAGTGCCCCCGTGTCATTCCCAGGGCTCATACCCTGCACTGAGGTGAAAAGAGAAGGCATTCAAACAGTGGCCTCCCAGGATGGGGGCTCTGTAGTGACTTTTACTACACCAGTGCAAATTAACCAGTATGGCATTGTCCAGATCCCGAATTCCGGAGCGAACAGCCAGTTTCTTAATGGGAGCATTGGATTCTCTCCACTGCAGTTGCCTCCTGTGTCAGTGGCAGCTTCACAAGGTAAAAGCTTCATTTGGTACCATGATCCACCAGGGAATATGTTGGTCAGCTGCTATAAATGATGCATTGAGTGAGAGCTGTAAGATTGATGTTACTGCTCAGGTACCTCATTGGTTTCCACAGCTACAGAACCTCGATGCAATCCCAGTATCTTCATACTGTCCAGCTTGCTTGATATTCTTGCATCCTGGCAATGGGCTATTTTCCCCAAACAGTATGGAAAAGTACTGTTTATTCCTGGTCTTGCCAATTCTACAATTACATAAATATGATAAGTCAATCAGTCCTTAGAAAATAACCCAGTACTTGACAATTTAAGATTAAAAATTAATAAAATTGCAAGGAACATAAAATTAGTCAAGCAGTTATTTATTTGAGCAGAAAATGTTTTAAAAGAACAAGCTAAAAGATGGTATCTATTTTGTTTGAATCATGTTCTTTCTATAATGAAGAATAAAACCTAAAAGAAAGCCAGAAGAATATGTGATTAAGTTTCTATTGCCCTAGAAGCATGTTCATTTCCCAGTTGTGTGGGTTTTTGAAGACAACTATCTCATTGTATATGTTTGTGGCTTTGCTAATAGCAGTCTGAGAGAGAAAGGAAATGAGCCCGAGGCTGGAGTGTCAGCTCTTCACAAACTTTAAGCAAATCTGGATCAGCTGTCATTTTTCTCTGTACAAAAATAGGAATGGTTAGAATTTGGCATTCGAAGTGGCATAGTCTCTAGATCTTAGGATTAGGAAATGGCAGTGTTTGCTTTCCTATAAGCGAATCAAAAAGTCCAGATTTTTACCAAATGTCAGCCTTCTGTAAAATGGTCGGTTTTTACACAACTCTGTTGTTTCTATGCCTATGGTATACTTAAGCTTATTGGAGGCATTAATGGAAAAATGGTTATACATTTTATCCTATACACTTGTTTCACTTTAAAGAAAATGGCAGTAAAATACCACAGCCCTGTGGTACACTCTCCAGTTGCTCACTGCTCCAGATGACAGAGAGTTAACCCAAGTCACTATCCAACTTAGGGCAGATATATGAATGCCAAGGGCAAAGCTTAGTTTTATAATAATTTAATAGTTATCTAACCCATTTTCCCTTTAAATGAAAAATTCCAAGCAGTACCTAACATTTAAAGACAACAAAGTTGGGCACAAAGTATGAATATATGTCTGTATATGATGGCAGAGGAGAAAAGCAAAAAATGCTTTCCATTTGTAATCTACAAAAGTGCTATCATAGGAAAGTATCATGAAGTAATAGCTAGTTTTTAGATGGAATAGTTAATGGGAATAAGAATAGCATTGTCAATTAAAATGGCTAAGATCAAATGACAGAGCTATCAACCCATGGACTCTCTGGGTGAACTGAAGGCATAAGTTAACCAGATGGTTCCAGTAAGCAGCATTCCTTTGTAATAGTTGTGTATTACACTTTGCAGTAAAGTACTTTGGGAATTTGGGCTTTATCAAAAACATACTGAGCTAGGAACAGTAGCAAAAGCCTATAATCCCAGTACTTGGGGGTCCAAGGTAGGAAGATTGGGGGTTTGAGGCCTACCTGAGCTATATAGTGAGTTTCAGGCCCAACTAAGCTACATGGTGAGGCTTTGGCTCAAACAAATACCAAGCAAACTAGATAAAATTTAGCTAGGAGTTGTGGCGTACACCTTTTATCCCAGCACTCAGGAGGCAGAGGCAGGCAGATCTCTTTGAGTTCCAGGCCATTCAGGGCTACATAGTAAGACTCTGTCTCAAAATAAAAAAAAAAAAAAAAAAAAAACTTGTACTGAACATTCTTTAAAATGTCCAGGGAAGATACTAGATACTTCTATCTTCCCAGAGCTGGGATTTGATAGAAAAGAATCTAAATAGCTGCATCTTTTACTAAGTTTATAATACCTGAGAAGAATTTTTTTTCTAAGTGTCATTGTAAAATTATACTTTTTACCTCAAATATTTCAGTTCTATTTTTGTATTGATTTTAAAATTATTGTGCATTTTATATAACTCAGTTGCAGGTATACTTAAAAGTCAGATTAAAAAAAAAAAAAAAGGTTTTATGTGTGAGGCCTTAGTTTCTATCCCCAGTACTGAAAAAGCAAATGTATCTTTTGAGCTGTAGCCCCCAGCTGGCCTGGAACTAACTATGTAGACCAGGCAGGCCTTGAACTCAGAGATCTGCCTGCCTCTGCCTCCTGAGTGCTGGGATAAAAGGTGTGTGCCACCACTCCTGGCTAAATTTCATCTAATTTGGCTCTGCCTCCTGAGTGCTGGGATTAAAAGTGTTCGCCACCACAAATAAGGGCTTCCTCTTTCATTTGTATATGTTAAAACTGTTTACACAAACAGTATTCTTTTACCTGTGTTTAATAGCACGGCTGTATCAAAAAATAATAATTTCAAATACCTACTGGCAAACAGTTTCTCAAACACACATAGTGAGCAAAATAAACAACTATTGTAGACTTTTTTTCCAACAATTTAGCAGCCTACAAGATTTTAAAACATTCCTAAAACCAAAAGGTTTAAGATAAAAGCAGTTTGTTCATTTGCATGGCCTGAACAAACATTTATGTTAGAGAATAGCCCGAGCATACATAGGATTGTTTTTTCTTGAGGCTGGAGAGATGCCTCAGCAGTTAAGAAAGAGTACTGGCTGCTCTGGTAGAGGACCCAGGTTGGATTCCCAGCATCCACATGGCAGCTAACAAGAATCCATAACTCCACTTCAGGTGATCCAATGCTCTCTTCTTGCCTCCACGGGCATTGCATCACATGGGTACACTTACATACATGCAGGTAAAACATACACATAAAATAAAAATAAATAAAACATAAAAGAAAACCTATTTTAAAAAGAAGTGTTCTTTCTTAATAGTTTCTCCTGATGAATACCTAATTGCTGGTAGTTACTTTTTTTTTTCTTTTTGGTCTTTTTGAGAAAGGACCTCCCTGTAGCTTCAACTGGCCTGGAACTTGCTGTAGAGACCAGGCTGGGATTAAAGGCATGTGCCACCATGCCCTGCATAGTTACTTTTTTTTTTTTAAAGGTGTTCAACTACAGTTTTCTCTTTTTATCATGTAAAGCCTTTTTTTTTGTTTGCATTAAGGTGCCTAAAAGTGTTGAAAGACATGTAAATGGCCCTATGCTACTTACAATAGAAGTAGTCTAACCGTAATCATTCTACTAAGAAGGCAAATGTTTTAGGTGAATTACTTAATTTAATATTGGCATTTTTTTTCTGCAATAGTCAAGGAGCTGACTAGACCTGTAATTCAAGGATGGGGGTAGATAAGTAGTCCATCTTAATTCTGATGCAAAATGCTCCCCAAATTGACCTTTCCTTCTATGGTAGTACTTGGGGACCTTGGTCATCCATTTGCCATCGGGTCACTGTGTCACTGTGCCCTTGTAAAGACTCAAAGAGTTCTACTTGATAGAGGTATACCGTCTTTATTGTTCAGTTACCACATTTGAATATCTTCTCTGTTTTCCATTTACACTACTTTTTCTACTAATCTCTACAGACCATTATAATGAGAGCCTCAGAAGGCATAAACCTTTTAGAGAAGCATTAGCTCTGGTCCTTTACGTTCATCTGTATTTTAAAAAGCACATTTCAGGGTTATTAATTCTGCCTATCGCTGCAACACTGGAAATGTAGAGCTAGCACAAGAAAAGAAGAAAAAGCAGAAACCTTGAATGTTTTGTTGACTTGACACTGCTTTATAGCTAGTTTGGTGAAAGCTTGCAACTTGTCTGTACAGGTTTATGTGGTTAACTTTTAAGATCCAGCGAAACTGATTTTATGTGGTATTTCCTCAATTTTCATTTACATTTATATCAGTAACTGAACATTCCTAACAAAGATATTTTATTTTGCATTTATGGTTTCTAGCTCTGACAGTGCTAGTAATAACTATCAACTATTAAGAGGTGACAAGTCTGCAATAATGAGCCAGAAACTTTACTAACAGCAGAACTTGGACAAGGTTTTCATCTTTTCTTTTGTGACGAGGTTTCACTATGTGGCCCAAGTTAACTTCAAACTAACAGTCTTCTTGCCTCAGCCTCAAAGTCACATCCTTGCTTGTGTTGATTGGCTTTTATTTTTGTTTTTTGGTAACGTTGGAGATTGAACCCAAGGCTTGCACCATGTGTGTGCTCTATCACGGCTGATCTCCCAGGCCCTACACTTCTAAGCCAAATGTTCTCTCATTTGGTCACCGCAATTATGTGGGGAGTTTTTTTTAAAAGCTATTCTGGTCTAAGAGGGTAGCTCCATGGCAGAATACTTGCCTAGCATGTAGAAGGCTCTGGGTTCAATCCCCAGCACTGTAAAAGAAATTTTAAAAATATATAGAAATAACTAGTCTGACTGAGTCCTGAGCCTAGGAATCCTCAGGTTTTGAGTTGTTTTTTGGGTTTTTTTTTTTTTTTTTTTTTTTTTTTTTTTTTTTTTAAGACAGGGTCTCCCTGTAGCCCTAGCTGTCCTGGAACTCACTATGTAGACCAGGCTGGCCTCGAACTCACAAAGATCCACCTGCCTCTGTCTCCCGAGTGCTGGGATTAAAGACGTGTGCCACCACACCCTGCAGAATCCTCAGTTTAATGTGCTCAAGGTGTATAACTAGGACCAGACTAAGTGATATGTGTCATTTCTCCAAAGATACTATGCCTGAGGAAAAATGTCTGTAAGGAAGTAACTTTTCTTTCATTATTACTTTCATCAATGCTAATCACTACTTTCTTCCCCCTAGGTAATATTTCAGTAAGTACAAGCACTTCAGATGGAAGCACGTTTACAAGTGAATCTACCACAGTCCAGCAAGGAAAACTTTTCTTGAGCTCTCTTGCCCCCAGTGCAGTGGTATACACTGTTCCTAATTCAGGCCAGACTGTGGGAGCTGTGAAACAGGAAGGCTTAGAAAGAAGCCTGGTCTTTTCTCAGTTGATGCCTGTCAATCACAATGCACAAGTAAATGCAAGCCTGTCTTCTGAAAATATCTCTGGGAGTGGCCTCCATCCACTGGCCTCCTCATTAGTTAATGTATCCCCAGCCCACAATTTTTCCCTGACTCCCCCTACATTACTAAATCCCACTGAGCTAAACCCTGACATTGCTGATAGCCAGCCAATGTCTGCACCTGCATCAAGCAAATCTACTGTAACATCTGTCAGCAACACTAACTATGCAACTCTTCAGAACTGCTCCCTTATTACTGGTCAAGATCTATTGTCAATCCCTATGACTCAGGTTGCCCTTGGGGAAATAGTTCCTACAGCTGAGGAGCAGGTGGGTCACGCCTCACCAGCGGTACACCAGGATTTTGCCAGAGAACATCGTTTGGTTCTACAATCAGTAGCTAACATAAAAGAGAATTTCTTACAAAATTCTGAGAGCAAAGCAACCAACAGCTTAATGATGTTGGACTCCAAATCTAAATATGTCCTAGATGGCATGGTTGAGACTGTCTGTGCAGACCTGGAAACAGGCAAAAAAGAGCTGGCCAAGCTTCAAACTGTCCAGTTGGATGAAGAGATGCAAGATTTATAAACCTTATTCACTACACACACATACCCCCACCTTTTTTTTTTTTTTTTCCAATCAGCAGTAAATCTTTTCTCTGTGAAACCCTCAAGATGGAAAACATTTTGTCATTTAAAGGAAAACATTCTACTTCTTCAAGGAAATGCATTCAGGAGACTTTGGACTGATCCTCGGGAAGATCACAGTCAAACAGACAGGATTAGAACTGCATGGCTGCTGCATCACTTTTGTTCACATGCAATGTTCTCTTTTAAATAGATGGAGACAGAGCAACAGGAGACATGCACCAAATCATCATATGTCATCTAGTTGGCAATAGAATTCTAGGGTCAAAATGGAACTTCATAGTATTTTAAATTAAAAATGCATACATCTAACTTAGCAAATTAAATAATAGCTACAGGCTGTTATAGAAGTAATGCAGTTGTTTTTGTTTACTTCTACTCCATGGGCATTGATATGGTTAAGAAAGATAATGGTACTCCAAACTATTATAAGGGTATATTTTTAAATATATATGTGCATACACACATTCATCTTTTTCAGCATTTTTGAGAAAGTCTTGGTTTTAAGTCTCTACCTGTTTCCAAATGTGATTGCTAATAGTTAAATGTGGCAGAGAAAGTTAGAAACTCCACTAAAAACTCTGAAACAAACTTCAGTCTGAATGTAAATATACCAGTTCTGCAAGCAGGATTTGAGTAAGTACCGTGAATTTTTATTTATACTGTGTATGTTTCTCTGAATGTCAGGCGCTATGAACTGGTTTTAAGTCTCTACCTGTTTCCAAATGTGATTGCTAATAGTTAAATGTGGCAGAGAAAGTTAGAAACTCCACTAAAAACTCTGAAACAAACTTCAGTCTGAATGTAAATATACCAGTTCTGCAAGCAGGATTTGAGTAAGTACCGTGAATTTTTATTTATACTGTGTATGTTTCTCTGAATGTCAGGCGCTATGAACTGGAAAGAAAAATGTTTTCTTACCATTTAATTTATATTTATTGTTTGAGCAGGAAGCGAACATCTTTGTTTCCAACAAAGTTTTACTTTTTGTAGGGTTTTCAAAGCAATGATTTTTATCAGGAGTCTATTAAGATCAATCTTAATATTGAAACCGGAACTCTTAAGTCCCAATATTGGAATTTGGGTACTTTTTCTTCACGTCTTCATTCTTTATTTAGCAACTCTGATTCGTTTCAATATGTTTGTATAGAATTCTATGTGCCTTTTTACCTTGTGGCCTTTTTATTAGAAATAAGGTACCGAAGAGTCAACAGAAATGCCGTGGTTCTTTTGTACTATCAAACAGGGTCAATCACCACAGAATCCCTCTAAGTGTGGAGAATTTAAATTTCACTAAATATGATGTGTAATGTTTATCATGCTAATGGATAAACAATTACTATTGATGCTTTTCATGATGGTGCAAGTCATAAATTATAGAAGACCATGTAAAATCAATTCTGCAGGTTATGAAAACAACCATTTTAATTAATAAAAAAAATATGTAAATTCTTATCAAGCAAAATTCTGTCCAGTTGAAGCTTCATTCTATGTTTTGATTGGTTCTTACGCTGACACATGGCTGTGACCATGAAAGTATCATGTCTTGTATGTGAATATTATGTCTTCTTTAAAAGCAAATCTTTGGGGTTTCTGTAAGATATCATCTTGTTTGAGAATGTTGTAAACTGTGTCTAAATTTCTTATCAGGACTCTGAGTACAAGATGTAACAATTCAAATGCCTTCATGTAGTTAGTACAGGTAACCTCTAGTTTCAGAAAGTATTAAGAAAATGATCTTTCCAGAGGTGACTTACAGAGGTTAAGCATAAAGATGGGAGCACATCTTGATTTCTTTAAGATAGGGGCAAAAGGTCTATTTGCTTTCTATGTGCCTGTCAGCTAAGCACATTGAATAAGGACCATAGAGTATTTAGCTTTTGCTGTTACTACAAATGGAATTTGCAGACTTGTTAGGAGCCCTAAGGAGAATTTCCCACTCATCATTTGATAAAGAACGTAAATGCCATTTTACGCAATTTGTGAATGTTCCTCAACTGCTGAAACTACATGGTTTTTGTTTTGTTAATTTTGGTTCTTTGTTTTGTTGTTTTTTGTTTTACAAAGCTAGATGTGGTTAGAGTAGTCTTCCATTCTACCACTACTTACGCAGCTTGGTTTTGTTCCCCCACCTTCTGGTTGCGTGCTGATCATATTACTAAGATTAGCTACATGGTCTTGTAATCCAGTTTACATAAAAATGATGTTTTTCACCTATTGCTGCAGATTTCAGGAGTTGTTAATTATCTAAATGACCCAACTGGTAAGGGAAGTAAGAAAGTTGGAAAGTTATATATGGTACATATATATCTGGAAAACGTTCATGTCTTCCAAAAATCTCTCTTTTATTCAGAGTTCTTCCTCCTTTTCTCCCTTATGAGAAATAAAAGATAGCACAAAACTAAATTCTTACCTAGGAAACCTATTCATAGTCCAACATGTTGTACTTTAACTCTACAATTACTCCAGGTAGCTAGATAATATACCAGGTAAGAATCAATGCACATGGTAAAGAACTTCCTGTTCTTTTCAATTCTTTCAGTAAAATAAGGGCCAGTTGCTATGTAGCCCATGTATATGTGAATGGAATAAAATAAACCCCATGATCTCCTTGCACAGAGTTGCAAATGATTATTTTTTGCAATACCAAGGGCCAGACTCAGAACCCTTAGAGTTCATGTGGCAGAATATCCTTCTTACCTATAAACCAATGCTTGAAGATGCTGCAAATGACCCTCTAATGACTTCCAGAAGAGGAATCAGAATGGGGTAAATAACTTCCTTTAAGCCCCAACTCTTGCTGCTGGCTGTGGGATTTTTGGTATCAGCCTATCTATGCACTCACTCTATCAGCCAGAATTGGCATTTAGCTCTTAGTTACATCTAGTAGAGGATGAACTATCATTTAAAGAAGGTGCATTTCCTCAAACAAGCGAGAGCACCTATGTTGTACTGCACACTATCTCATGTATGTTTATAATAGGTTGAATTATACATGTTTCAGTGCCTTTCTTGTGTCGTGAAAGGCAGGTAGATGTTATAGCCATAGATTTTTTTTTTAATAATCCATAGTTAAATTGCACACTGACCTTAAGTCTCCCTGTATGTGCCCTTGCTATCTTGCATGTTAAAATTGGATTATTGGGCATGTATGGCAGACTTCCCTGCTACATCTTAGAAATGTGTGCATTAGTACATAACCATAAATTTTTCATTCTTTAAAATGGTTTGACAGATCATCTCATAAAAATATTCAGGAAATCTGTGGGGAAAATAATTATACTTTACAAAAGCTGTTTCCAACTCCTCCTAAAGTTTAGATGGTAGAACCTAATGGCTATTTTGTGTCTAATTGATACATTTCGGTTTCATTAGCTATTACCACCATATGTTTTATTAATCAAAATTATACAGCATGTGAGTCTTTTGGCTTTCAGGGTTCTCAAAAAATTTGTTCTTTTGTTGCATGTACTGTATATTTAGAGGCAACCAGTTGTATACTCAATATGGTTTTACTGTGCCTTACACAAAGAGAAACTCTATACAGAATGTATATCATGGGGTGGGGAACAGAGTCTCTACTGCACTGTTAGGTGATGGCACACAGAGCATGTTCCAGAACATTTCTGTGCTTAATTACCCAACCAAAGAGATCTAAAGTATGTATGTTGTACTGTAATGGGGGTTTATGCCTGGACAATTGTTTTATTTGTTTTCTGAAATGATGTGAACTTATTTTTCTAAATACTATGCTAAATAAACTTTATATTTATACATACTTTTGGGAAAAGAAGTTATTTGGAGAATACTGTTTTTTAAAATGTCAATAATGGGGCTAGAGAGATGGCTCAGCAGTTAAGAGCACTGGTTGTTCTTGCAGAAGACCCGGGTTCGAATCCCAGTACCCACGTGGCAGCTAACAACTGTCCTAACTCCAGTTCCAGGGGATCCAACAGCCTCTTCTGACCTCCATGGGCATTGCACAACACAGGTGCACTTACCTACATGCAGGCAATACACACATACACATAAAATAAAAATAATAAATAAAATATTAAAAAAATAAAATAAAATGTCAGTAACCTATTTGGAAATAATGTTGATTTTATGTATGCTTAGATAAGCGTGAACCAAGAAAACACAAACATTCAGAGGCTGGAAAAGAAGGCCAGTTGGAAAAGTAATTTGTGTTGGTTTTTGTACAGAGTTTTATAACTCACTTAACTATACTACATACTCAGAGCTAAATCACAAGATTTTACACTTAGAGAAAAGTAATGTACCTTACTCATTTTTATCTCCCAAGAGCTCAACTGGAAATGTGGCACATAGTAGGTACGTTATAGGTTTAAATAGGGATTAAAGTGAAAGGTCCAAAGACCTTTCTATACCTGACTTGATTAAAAGAGCTCTCTGGGTCTCACCTCTAGGACATTGCTATCAGCCAATTTGTGGCTACACTCCAGTTTGATTGAAAGGTTTGGGTAGAACTGCATTACTGTTGAGTGGAGAAGACTGAGCCTTAATGCAGTTTGGTCCTAATTCACAACTACCTGAGATCTGAATTCTGTGGCTCCTACACAAAAACAGGGGTGATTAATAAAGCAGATTGGGAACCAATTGTACCGTTCTTTTACGAACATTGTTAAAGCCATCCAGTTAGTGTCAGGTGGTATGTTTAGACACATTCTTGTCACTCAACTCTTTTGGCAGTGCTCTATGTGGTAGTTAAATCAGTTAAGCACAAATAGTGTCTGAATGGGTATGAACTGGTGACATTGTGCAACTTTTTAAGCAAATAAGTATTATAAAACATTTGAAAGATAGCTGTCCTGTTTGTGCTGCCTCCAAAACTAGCAAATTCAGGAAAACTCAATAGAATAGGATATCAAGGCCTTCCACTATAAAGTTTCAGCCCGCTTCTCCTGTCTCTTATTAAAAATAATATGTGTGGTGGCCCACACCTTTAATCCCAGCTCTTGGGAGACAGGCAGGCAGATCTCTGTGAGTTCCAGGCCAGCCTGGTCCACAATAGTGAGTTCTAGGCCAGCTGAGGCTACAGGGAGACCCTGTCTCAAAAAGACCAAAAATAAATAAATAACGTGGAAATTTGCTTTTACATAGCTTCACTTCCAGGACAATTGGGCAGCGTATAAACAAGATGCGCTCGGACAAGTGTTGTAGAGCAATGAAGAATAATAGGACTGAGAACGGGGAATGGCCGGGTGGGAGACAGATTGGTGAAGAAAGATCTGAGAAAGTGACATTTCTGTAGAGATGGTTAAATGATACTGGCTAAGGTAGAACTAACAAAGACTGTTCAGTTCCTGTACAAGGAGCAGCAGGTTTAACCTTCCCAAGAGGCAAGATCAAAGGTAGAGCTGTGAGGGTCTGTGGCAAATACTTTGGATTTGAGTCCGATAAGACTGGTGGCTTTTTTT